AAAAAAAAAAAAAAAAAAAAAAAAAAAAAAAAAAAAAAAAAAGGTGGCTCTCAACTTTTACGTCTGCAAAGCTTGATTTGGAGATCCCTCAAGCAAGAAGCCCAACAATGGCCATGGCTTCAGGGTACTTGAGTAGGAGTCAGTCCCAATGGCTAAGAACTAGGTCACAAATGATCTGTCCAGTGACTGTGGGAGGTGGGGAAGGCCTTTAAAGGGTTAAATGCGCTCAACTTTTCAGAGCAGTTGACAGGCAGTTCATAGGCACTCTACAGTCAAAAGCCCGCCCACAGTCCAGGGTACAGGCTGCAGCCTTCTTAAAGCCTTGTACTAAAGTGCATGAGCTAGTTCGTGGGAGCCCATTCCCTCTGAGGGAACGCCATGCTCAGTCTAAACACAGCGGGGAGGGGCCTGGTCCTGCCCCAACTTAATGTGCCAGACTTTGTTGACTCCCCATGGGAGTCCTTACCTGTTGGGAGGAGTGGATGGGGGTGGGCTGGGAGGGAGAACTTTGGTTGGAATGCAAAGTGAAATAAAAAATAAATAAATTTATTAAAAAAAGAACTGCATTAAGTTCAGTAGCAGGACCCAACTGCTACCCAATTGGTGGTCAGTCAGCCACCAACACGGTCCATCATCACCAACCTATGTTTGAGACCATATTCAAAATCTGTGTGACTCATGTCCATCACTCTTAATTAAGAAAGGGCTCTGAATGGGATGTTCTCCAAGCCACAAAGACACTGGGTCCATAGGACAAGACTTTGCACCTTGAATTAGACGTCATCAGTCATGCACGGCAAAGTGAACCTAACCCTGCCACAGCAACTGTCTAAAACCTAGGATTTACCACCAGGCAGAACAAAGCCAGGGGGAGGAGGGAGGAGGACCAAGAAGAGAAAAAAAAGCAAAAAAGAACCCTAGGCCTGCCTTTATTTTTACAGGGTTCCTCTCACCATTCAGCCGGGGCATAAAGAGAGATTTAATTCTTGCCAGGGCATCACTGGCTGACTCCCTAGAGGGTATTTTATGGGGTGGCACAAGCCAACCCCATCTGTGACCTGCAGAGGAACACGCCAAGCAGGTTTAATTAGATCACAGACACAAAGGGCTATTGCCTCCCTTGATAACACCGCCATGGCTCTGGAGTCCACAACAGCAGGCCAAAAACAGAAGCAGCAGAACGGCACCTTAATTGAATCCTTTCTCTGGCTGGCCCTTGACAATGATTTACTTGTAACCAGGGGAAGCATTGGGAGCCAGGGGCTCCGCTTTGAGCCAGCATCCCAAGAGGAGGTACCTGGGGGTGGGCAGGAGGGAGGTAGTAGAGTTTGTTTGTATCTTGTAGCCTGAGTTTGCTAAAGTATTGTTGCACTTAATACAGGGCTGTTTGGTTTCGGTCTGCTGCTCCCAGATCTTGTGGTTTTAGCAGCCCTGTGCCCCAGGAATCCCATAAATCACTCCCCCCTCTAGGATCCCAAGCACAGCTCAGTGGGGTAAGCAGATAAGCAGCTCTTCCCGCTGCCCTGCCCCCAACCCCCCTGGCCTTTGTACCCTGCATCCTCCAAGCTGAAAGTAGGGAGGGACAGAGAGAGGCCAAATGCAGGGCATACAAAGGTGCTCTGAAATCCCCCAAGCCTGCTTGTACAGGAAGGGCTGAATTTGGCCCCGGATCAGTCAGGGTTGAAACTCCAAGCAAGTTCACACTTTACCTCCCCTCAGAAAGAAAGGCAGACTGCGGGGGCAGGAAGAAAATGTTCCCCAAGGCCACCCACCAGTCCAAGTGCTCCTACCTGCTCCCTCCGTCCCCTTCCTCCTCCTCCCCTGTCCAAAGTCGGCTATGCATCTCACCAACTCTGCGTTTTCCAAAAGGCCCTCCAGGAGTATCAAATGGGGCCCAGGTGAAGGGGTTGTGGGTGGGGAGGAAGGGGGCGCAGCCGTTGCAAAACAACTCTCCCTTGTGCAGCCCAGAGCCCAGGTTTAAGCATCAGTGCACCACCGAGTCTCCATCCTCTTCCTCGGAGGCCGGCGCAGGGGGGCGCAGGGGGGACGGTGTAGTCCGAGCCGCATCGCTGCAGTCGCCCTCATCCGGCTCAGCCGGGTGCAGGTGCGTGGCGAGCTCCTGCAGCACCGCCGCGCGTCCGATTTGGTCATTACGCCGCTTCTCCATGATCAAGTCCTCCAGGCTCTGGAACTCGAGAGTGTGGCTGCGCTGAGCCGAGAGCTGAATCTGCAGCCGGTAGGGCTGCTTCCCGATGCGCAGCTCGCCACCGATCTTGAACTCGCGCTTGCCATAGCGGCACCAGGCGGCAAAGCTCTCCGAGTTGCGCCAGCTGAGCTCGCGCTCCTTGGCGCCCACGTGCGCCAGCGCGTTGCGCACCACGGCGCTGGGGCTCAGCGGCTTGTAGCGGTACAGATCGTTGACCACGCGGCCGCGCCGCCCCTGGCTGGCGTCGGTCAGGAAGCTGTTGCTCACCTCCAGGCGGTGCAGGTGCACGACCTGGAAATTGCCCACGTAGACCGCCCAGTGCGGGTACTGCGCCTGGGACACGAACTCCACCAGGTCGCCCGGACTGCACTTGTTGAGCAGGTTCTCCGGGGTGTAGGTGCTCAGCGCCGCCGAGCCCGGCGCGAAGCTCTTCTGATAGATGCACTCGTCGCGATAGAACACCGAGCATTCCACCTCGTGCTGCCGAGGGTCGTAGGGCTGCGGCGGGGGCAGGGGGACCCGGTCCCCCGAGTCCGGCAAAGCTCCGCCATCGGGCCCCTGGGGCGGCGCCTGCGGTTCCACGTCCTCGTCGTCGTTGGAGAAAATGTAAGAGACTCCTATGCGGGGCCCATCGTCTCGGTCCACGCCGGTGGGGTCGGCCGTGGGAACTTCCTTGTAACTTAGGTGGGTCAGTTTCTCCACCTGGTTGCCCATCACGCCGCGGACGCTCGTTCACAGCACTGCGAGAGGAGAAAGCGAAACCACCACCACCAGAGTCATTGGCACTGGTCTCGGGGCAGGGGCTGGAGCCACCTGTTGGAAGAGGAGGCAAGAAAAAAAAAATATATATATATAATATATGTATATTATATATATTTGTAGGTGCCCCTCAAGGGAAAGACGTTTCGTTCGTGCAAAAGGGACGTGGGGGGGGGGCGAGCACCTGGAGCCATTTTAGGGGGAATCTAGGGGGCGAGCTTCCTCGCGTTTCTCCACCCCCTAGGGTCACGATCACCGGAGACAGGGCCACTCCAGCTCTCGTTCCCCAGCAGCCAGCCATCACCTGTCTCCCCCGACCGAAGCCCATTGCATCAGCTGCTCCTACAGCTTCCGCCCGCGCCCTACCTGCCAACCCTGGGCAAGGTGGGAGGGAGGAAATAGAAACTTTATTCCAATTCCCTTCCTTAACTTCCCCTCCCACGCCGGCTCCTAACGAGCCCTTAGACGTCCCACCAGGCCTGCACCCCCTAGGAACCAGAGAGGCTCCCGCGGCGTGGCCGTGGCAGGTGAGCCACCCCACCTGGCTCACCTGCGACAAGTCCTGGCTGCTGCTGCGGCGGCGGCGGCAGCTCGCCCGCCCCACCCCCGCGCGCCCGCCCGCTCGCCGGCTCGCCCTGGGGTTCGGATTACCTGCGCCGACTCACTCGCGGGGAGGTGGCAGCCCTGGGGGACCGGGAGGGGCGCCCTGCCGCACCCTGGGACTTCTAGGGCGAGTTCGCAGGTGTGGGCTCCTCCGCGGCGCCTCCTCTCCCGGCGCGGACCGGGGCGAAGCCAGGCAGCGGGGAAGGACGCATGTCTCCCCTTCCCGCCCGGCGCGCGGCTGCGGAGCGCCCCAAGAATTGGAGACGGGGTGGGGTGGGGTGGGGTGGGGGGCAATGCTTCTTCACGCTCGCTGCTGCGGTGCAGCCCCTCGCGCCGATCTCCCAGAAGGTGGAGCACGGAGAGGAGAGCAGAACGAGGTAGCCGGGCTTCCCGGGGTCCGCAGCTCCCGCTCGGGCCGGGCGAGCAACAAGCGCCGGAGCGGGAGGGACGGGATTGTAGATCCGGCTCCGGGCTCCCGGGCGGGAGCGCAGCCCTGGGCATTTAAAGAGACAGACGCTTGCAGGCTCCCGGAGCTCCGGTCTTTCTGGCACCAGGCTTCGCCTCCCGGAGCCCCGCCTCCGCCCCGCCCACCCGGGCTGCACCGCCCTTCCCGGGCCACGCCCCCTCCCGGGCCACACCCCCCCTCCGTAGCGGGTTTAAATCCCGCTGGTAACTAGCGTGCGCACCCGCCGCCGCCGCCGCCGCCGCAGCCGGCTTCCTGTACCGCCCCAGTCCGCTGCCTTCCTGTTGGGCATCCGACAAGTTGGAAGTTAAAGGCCACCTGCAAGTCAAGAAATGCAAGAGGCCAGAATAATTAGTGCTGCTTCCTCGTCGCCTTCCATGTCTTCTTGGCTGGAGCGTCTCAAGAGGGAGGGACGGCGGCCTTTTATTATGCAGAACGTCTTTGTGACCCAAAGGGTTCTTTCTGTGCTGCCAAGGGCTCAAGCAACGTCTCGGCTAAGATGTGTTTCCAGAGCAAGGAAGATTTGGGGACAGTAGAAAACAAAATTTCTTTCTTTTTTTTTTTTTTTCCAGAAAGAGGAAACCGTATGAAGCAGTTGCTGGCTGGCTCCCAAGGCCCATGGGGCTACTAGGTGTCCCTTCAAGTGAAGCCAAAGTTAATTCCCTAGACTTTTGTCTCCAGATTTTGTTTTGTTTTGTTTTTTTAATCTAGCGTCGAGAGAAAGCATGCAGAAGCTGAATGGGGGTGTAGGATTGCTTAATTGCCCTTAAATTAGAAACCAATTAGCAAAGGCCCCTGGTGAATATATCTCCCTCCCCCTGACTTAGAGGGAAGTTGCTGATAAACCTCCACAAGAAGACACTTCCTCCTGCTGGGTTCATTTCTCTACCCCAGGCCTAAACTACTAAAGTGATCTTTGCTTTTTTTTTTTTTTTTTTTTTGGTTTTGTTTGTTTGTTTGTTTGTTATTCAGAATGGCCGGTGTAGAATCTTTAGTGCCACTCACAATGGACAAGCTTAGGAAACACCCAACCCAGTTCACACTGCAACTCAAGACCTGCACCTTGTTTTCCAGCGACCAAATTTTTCCAAGTAACGTTATTATTTATTCATTCCGTGTATACCAACCCGTGGAAACAGGAATAACACTAACACTACCATGATCCGGTTTAGTTTGAAAAAGCAAACTAAAATCAATGTACTTATGTACCTTTAAGCCAGAACAATCAATATTGTCAGGGCTGTGATGGAAGTTAGGCCTTCAGCAAGCCTAAGATCACAGTATGAGCTAGACCAAAAGAGAGATCTGTGTGGATCCTGAAGATTTAATTTCAGTATTTTCTAACTGACTGCAGGTATTTGAGGTTACGAGAGAAGTTCTTGGACCTTTGTATAATAACATGCTCCAGGGGCTAGTCTTCCTACCACGCAAGCAGAGAGAGATGAGTGTTCCACTTAGAACTTGTCTGTTGGATGGGGAAAGCTACGGACAGATACTGTGGGCCCGTTTGGCCCTGGATGACACTCAATGGGTTGGCTGCAGATGGACTCTATAGAAGGGAACAGTTATATAGTAGACTGCTGTCAGCACCCGGGGGGTCAAGTCTTAGGGGGTGAGAGAGCTGGACTTCGTAATGCTCGTTCTCTCATTATCACAGTGGCGGTTCAGTTACTCAGCTGGCCAACTATAAAGTCCAGAGGTGACAGACATCATGCCATCTGATTTGGTAGTCATTCAGTTAATAAGTGTTTAGAAGATGGCAGAGGGGAAATTCGCCGTAGTCCAAGGATTACTTCCCAAGGGCTGAAAATAGTCCCATGACAGAGTGCTAATCTAGAATGTGGGAAGACTTGGGCTTGATAACCCCTCTGTCTGTCTGCCTGTCTGTCTGTCTCCCTCTCTCTCTCTCACACACACACACACACATATACACACACACACAAAGAGAAAAGGAAAGAAGAAAAATAAGCGATGTCTTGGTTTTATGAGGCAATCAGCCTGTGATACCTTTGGTAACCAGCCTCTAGCCCAGGATTTATTTATTTATTTATTTATTTATT